ATTCATAACATCCACAATCATCTCTTCTATCATTTGGCACAACATCCATCCATTCAGACTTCCCACTTTGACATTTTTCTCTTCTTATTCTTATTCTTTCTTCTTATTCTTAATCTTAACAGGAACAGGGTTACTACCCATTGTGCCCAGCATTTTTAAGTTGAACTTTTACAACATGCATGCTTACGAGGCAAGATTTTATTTCCACTTCCCATGATATAAAAGAAAAGTAATAAGACCAAGAACTATCATTAAAATCATAAAAACTCAGATAGTGTGTTAAATAATCGTGTACATGTATGTGTAGTGAGAACCTAAGTGAAAGTAGCATACAAGACATTCCTGTAATCTTGCATATTTAGAGACAGACAAAAAACACCAGCAATCTACCATCATGCAAACAATTATAGGCGTTTTGTTTTACACTCACTTGGCTGGAAGGTAGTACATCCCTGGGTGGGTTGCTGTCTACCAACCTAGTCTACCCAATTTCCTGGACCTCTGCAATGATAGTCGCTTCGCACACCGCTGGCAAAAGCGACCATGGCCATCTTTGTATCATCAGCAAATTGCTCATGGCACTCGCAATCCTTCATACAGTCATTTATAAATTATGAACAAGAGAGGGCCTAAAACTGATCCTGTGAATGCCAATAGTGACTACTTCCCCATTCAAAATGGCCCCATTAATCAACTCTCTGCTTTCTATTGGTAAGCCATACATCAATCCATGCTAGAACTTTAACCATCCTATACTCTGAGCTGCCACTTTCTCAGAGTCTCATGTGAGGTACTCTATCGAACTTTACTAAAATCCAAATAACAATATCATATTCTTTATCGCTGTATTCTGCCTCAAGTGTTCTATTGAAGATTGTCAGTAAATTTGTCAGCAGGAAAGCAGCCTCTCATGAACTCCATGCAGAATTCATTTACCAATATCTCTTCTAGGTGACCTTCTAATAATTTCACTATATAATTCAATAACAGCCACGATAGAGGTCAGAAAACTTATTGGACGGTTAATTGAAGAACGGACATATCCCATGAATTGAATAAAGACCACATAGCCGGGGGAACGTCCCACAACTCTGGCCACAACTCCATAAGGATGGATGCATTAAACATCACTCTTAATGACTGACTAAGTTACATCTTGTCAGTCCTTAATACCCTGGAAAACAACTCGTCGGGCCCGGGACTTTTTTGCTTCAGTTTTGTCTAGTCTGTTTGATAACCATTCCCCTCGTGAGAGTAATATTATACAATTTGTATTCGTCTGGAACTGAATAATTGTTAACCTATCAGGGTCGAACAGCCCTCTCAGAGACTTGTTCTCAGGGTCGGCCAAATTTAAAAAAAAAAAAAAATCTTTTGAAAAGATAGACAATCTTTTCTCGATCATAAATGACACCAAAAGTATAAATATGATGGAAAACTTGCAGAATTATCACTCTGCAGGAAAGTTAGCGGTCATCGCAGTGTTTACACTCGCGATTTTGGCCCACTTTGAGCCCTATTTCAGACCAATTCAAGGGTACTTGACGACAAATATCATAACATAGTTTGCTAGAACTCCATTTTTTTCTATTCGATATGAGTACAAAGAACCACTCATTTACCGATTTCAACTAGTCAATTTGGGGTCAAATTTAGTAATTTTTGCCAATTCCACACTAACCTCAAAAGATCCAATTCTGAATAGCCAGAATAAACAAGAAACATTCCTGCATTAAAATAACACTTCCTCTGTTCATTAGTCATTTCCCACGCCCCTCTACATTCTTTTGCTTCCACTTTGAATTTTTATCTCAACAAAAAAATAGAAGATTTACTGTTATTAGACTACTGCATAGTAGATATGGTAAATAAATAATTTCAGCGCATTTGTGAAAGAATATGAGACTCACAAGTTGATGTGTATTGGAGCATAGCATGTTTTGTTTACTTTTGAACTTTGGTAAAAAATCAAACATTTCTGCTACTTTGAGCTCAATTTCAAGGTACTTTTCTTTGTAAAATCATCAAAATCACCTCAATTTCTGGAATATGTCCTCCATTCTATATATGAACCAAAAACTAAATACAAATTAAAAACCATACTAAAATACAGTGCAGAGTCGCTGTTTTAATCCAAAAACACCGTCAAATTTTTTTTTTTTTCTCATTACTCACTGTGTGCTACAGGATTTTTTTTATACTACGCACACTGACCACATAGACCCATTCTTTCATATGTAGGCCTACCAGCTTTCTTTCACTAGATTTGAAGGCGCTAGAATTTAGGCGTATTAGTACGTCAAAAACCCTGGTGCGTAAGCCATACTAGTACGGCCGAAACCCTGAAAGGGTTAATTTCTGGAATCTCATTTATGTCTTCCTGTGTAAAAACTGGCAAAAATTAGTCATTAAATATGGAACACATTTCCAGTTCGTTATCCATCAGCTGTCCATTCCCAATTTTCAGAGGTCCTACTTTTTCCTTCACGTTCGTCCTATACACTTGAAAGAACCCCTTTGGATTGGTCTTTGATTCATTAGCAACCTAAGTTTAATAGTCACGTTTAGTCTTTCTATTCCCCTTTTTCACTTCTCTTTTAAGCTGAACATATTGATCAGTAAGGTTACCTCTCCTCTCTGATGGCGCCTATAAATTCCCCTCTTTTCTCTCCCAAGAATGCCTTCAGCCCTCCCTGTTAAGACCCCATTGAAATCAATTATTATAGAACCCTAATTGCATCTCTTTATAGAAGGAAGTTATTTACAGAAAGAACATGATTTTTGATTGCTTTTCATGATGAAAAGTACATGTTCCCAGTCCGTTCAAAATTAATCCGTTCCTGAGCCGGTACTATAAACGAAATTTACGATTACGAATCATTTTTCCCTAGAAAAATAAGTTAAATACCATTATTCTGTCCTGACAATCAGCCCAGAAGTATTATAACAAAAAAAATTTTAACCATATATATACATGTAGTACTTTAACAATACAATGGAAATGATGAATGAAACATTAATAGCATAACATCTTACCGTTATGGGAGATTCTTCTTATGTATGGAGACTGGAGTAGAGAGAGAATGGATTGTTTATAGTTTGGAAGGGAATCCTTCCATCACCACCTCATACCTTTTGCTTTTCTGGTTGCTTGTCTTTCTTGTTTCTTAATGCCACTAGACCACCTTGATAGTCATGACTGAATTCCTGTCTCACAAAATAACTGTGGAGAGAAGATCTGTTTTCTGGCATCTCTTTAACACTTCCCTAAAAAAGGCCCCAGACTTTTGTCACTGAAACATGTTGCCAACCTGCTTGCAACAACTTTTAGATGAAGTTTGCTTCTCCATAACAAACTTGCCATCTTACCCACAATAGTATAAATCTCTTTAATTTCTGAAGAGGCACCTTCTTCCATCCTCTTCCTCCTCCTCTCAGCAATATTCTGAGCTTCCAATGTGTTGCTCGTCCCTGCCGAAGCCTTGCAGCTCCTCATGTTGAGCTCTTCATTTGTGGTCTTCCACCAATTCTTCCACATCCTCCAAACTCAAAATCCCAACCCCATGGAACTCCCCAGTCCACAATTGATTTACAACAACAAAGGCTTCATTAGGGTCATCCCCAATTCTTCAAAATCCCTCTTGTCGACACAATCTGCGCCCATGGCTTCTTACTATTATGATTTCCAAAACACCCACAATTACTCTTCATAACATTGTTTTTCCTGAACACTCCTGGATTTTCAGTATGGTACACGGAAATGCTTTTAAGCTGAACATATTGATCAGTAAGGTTAACCTCTCCTCTTCTGATGCGCCTATAAATTCCCCTTTTCTCTCCCAATAGATGCTTCAGCCTCCTGTTAACCCATTTGAAATCATTATTATTAGACCTAATTTATCTCTAGGGAATGTATATACTCTGAGCATGGTGTACATTATTAACCCTTTGACTGTTTCGGTCGTATATGTATGTCTTACGAGGTACCGTGTTTGATGTATATATACTCATAAATTCTAGCGGCTTCAAATCAAGCAGGAGAAAGCTGGTAGGCCCACATGTGAGAGAATGGGTCTGTGTGGTCAGTGTGCACCATATAAAAAAAATCCTGGAGCACGCAGTGCATAATGAGAAAAAAAAAACTCCGACCATTTTTTTTTAATTAAAATGCTGACTTTCTGGTCTATTTTCGTATAGTATTTATGGTTGTATTCTCGTTTTCTTGGTCTAATTTGATAGAAAGGAAAACATATTATGGAAATAGAGGTGATTTTGATTGGTTTTACTATAAAAAGATCCTGGAAATGGAGCTCAAAGTAGGGGAAATGTTTGATTTTTGCTGATGTTCAAAAGTAAACAAATGATGTCATTGTCCAATAAATGTCCAACTAGCCATTCTAATATGCAGTCATCATTGGGTTGACAGTATTTGTTCAATTATTACAGTATTGCAGTAGTCTGCATAACAGTAAATCTATTTTTTTGTTTGAATAAAAATTCAAAATAGAAAGCAAGAGTAATATCAGAGGGGCCTGGAGACGTGACTGATGAACAAAGAAAATGTTATGTTAGAGCCAGGAATGTCTACATTGTTCATCTGGACCCTATTTTGAAATCGTCATATTTTTTTAATTTTTGTGAAATTGGCCAGATTGCAAATTTCTGACCACATTATTGGGTAGTTGAAATCGGTAAATGGGCAGTTTCTTGTACTCAATTGGTAGAAAAAAATGGAGTTCTAAAGAAATAGTTATGAGTTTGGTCGACTGGAACAATGGAATTAGCTGCAAATAGGGCTCAAAGTGGGCAAAATCGCCAATTTGTAAATATCGCTGAGGTCGCTAACTTTGCGAGAGCGTAATTCCATCAGTTTTCCATCAAATTTCATTTTTTTGTGTCATTACAATCAGGAAAAGATTCTTTATCATTTCATATATCCATACTCATTATTTATCATTTCTAAATCCATACCTCTAACTAATCCTAGTTTAAAATCCTAGCAACCCCCTCAACTGAGCTAGCAAGAAAACCCACACTTGCCCTGGATAAGTGAACCCCATCCCTGGCATACATGTCATTTCGGCCATAGAAGTTGTTCCAGTTGCCCGGTCTATGACCAGGCCTCCCAGTGGATCAGGGCCTGATAAGTAATGAATGTACTGTGTATGTATTTTACTTTTTGTGTTTTCAATGCCTAGTTCTATTACTAACTTAATATAATTTAGTGTAAACTTGTTGTCTGGCATTTATATGCATTTATAAATGGAAAAAATGGCATTCTGCTTTCCAGCGATGTGTGCTTTAGTAGCAGTAGTAGTAGTAGTTAGTAGTAGTAGTTAGTAGTAGTAGCAGTAGCAGCAGTAGCAACAGTAGCAGCAGTAGTAGCAGTAGTAGTAGTAGTAGTAGTTGTAATAGTAGAAGAAGAAGAAGAAGAAAGGTGGTAGGATAGACAGCTACAGAGGGACCTGTTGACATCATGTAACAGCAGTTTCCAGAATGGGTAATATCCTGTTGATTAGCAATTTTTAGATACTGTAACTATCGGACTTATGGTTTATAGTGTTACTGACAGCAATCAGGGCAGCTTCTATGCATTTTCTCCATCTTAAATCGTCTTCTTTAACCCTTTGACTGTCGCAACCCCAAATCCTGAAGTGTGTCCTGGTGTTGAAAAATATTCGAAAAAAAAGAATTATTTTTCTTATCAACATGTTAAGATTAATTTTCTGATTGTTTTAAGCCCCCCTCCCCCCAAAAAAAATTGAGATCAGTACTTAGTGAGATATAAAGGAGTAAATTTGGCAGAAAATGAGCAGCGTATGGTAACAGCAGCAAATGCCGCTCACCCAGTAAACTTTGGTTTACTTCCATTCGAAGGTTTCTTGTTTTTTCACTATTTTATTTTTTCACATAACTTATGTGGCCTGTGAGACCAAAGTAAGGTGCAGTGTACATATATACACTCGTTGTATGTATCACAATGATTGCACAAACATTAGTATAATTATATTGTTTACAAAGCTTGTTTACACAAATGAATATAAAAAAATTTTTATTACTATTATTCTATAGTATATATACAAATGTACAATCATTGGACACTTTCCTAGAACTGCTGCAGCTTGTGGAATTCTTTGAAACATGGGTGTATGCACAATGGTGCTTTACACTCCTCACACATAAAATGAGTGTCTGCGTTTTTGTGGGCATTTTTTTTTTTATGTGCACAGACAAAACACCTCTTCTGAGCAGTTTTCTTCAAAGTATTAGCAGGCAATTGTGTTAGGTAGTTATCCTAGGTAAATGGTCATGTGTCATCATCCCTACCTACCTACCTATCTTTCTTCATTCTTTCTTTCTTTCATTTTTTCTTCATTCTTTCTTCTTTCTTTCTTCATTCTTTCTTCATTCTTTTTCTTCATTCTTTCTTTCCTCTTTCTTTCCTCTTTCTTTCCTCATTCTTTCTTTCTTCATTCTTTCCTCTCTTCCTTCTGGTTTCTATAATATATATACAGTAGGGCCCCACTTTACAGCGTTTCACTTTATAGCATTCCGCTAATATGGACATTTCAAATTATGACCAAAACTTGCTATACAGCTCCTCCTACCCGCCTTTCTAATACGGTCACCACAGCCCACCCGGTTTGTTTACATTCTCCCTGAGCACATCTCTTTATTATGTCTGGAAACTCCAAAATTTCAAGTGTTTTAAGGTTATTGCATATTTTATATGTACTCTGATAATTAAACTTGTGTGTACCTGTACCTAAATATACTTACACACTGTGCTGGCATGCAGGTACATATTAAAATCACTAAGAGTCTCTCTACTCTTGATGCCATAATAATAATAATAATAATAATAATAATAATAATAATAATAATAATCTCTTGGGCACATTAAATGTCGCGTATTATGTTAATATAGACATTTCCCGTAATCTGTCTATGATATATTTTTTTAAAATTATATAAGAAACACATTATGTAACACACAAACATGATACATGCACCCGCAGTATAAAAATTTATATAAATGTGAGATGTTTACCTAACGATTTGTAGGAGCGTTGGAAGAATTATGTTTTCTCTAGTCCATCACCTGTTACTAGGGGATAACTGTAGAAAAATATTCCTTTTGTATGCCTTCACTCTATAGCTATGCATGACCCTTGTGGATTTAGCGCTTCTTTTTTATTATGATTATAATAATATAATAATAATAATAATAATATAATAATATCATCATTCAATCTAAAAATGGTGTGTTGCATGAGAATGGGAGTGTTGCTGTTTATTATTCTGTACTAACTTGTTCAACTTGTACACAGTGTAAGAGTATTTGTTTTGTGATTTAATTATTATAATAAAAAAAAATATTGTAAGGTAAAAGTTTCACAAACTCTTACAAGCATACGTGAATGAACTGAAACTGGACACGTATTAATACCATCTATTTCGCCTGACCGAGTAATTGTCCACCACCGGTCCAGTTTGTGTTTTTACACTGAGCTCCGTGTATCTCGTTCTCTCTCGTTTAATCTTCGTTAACTAATTGGCTCTCGTTGATGATGGCATCTAAGCTTAGTTGTTATAAAAAGAAGAGTTGTAAGCCTCTTAATTTAAGTGCCAAGTTAGAAATGATTAAACTTAGTGAACAAGGTATGTCAATGGCTGAGATAGCACATAAGCTTGGTTTGGCTCATCAAACAGTTAGTACAGTTGTGAACACTAAAGAGAAAGTGTTGCAGGAAATTAAAAGTGCTACACCAGTGACCACTAAAGTTATAAGAAAACATGATAACCTTATTGCTGACATGGAAAAGCTTGTAATGGTGTGGATTGACGATCAGACTAGTCACAATGTGCCTTTAAGCTGAGCCATTATCCAGTCCAAGGCCCTAAGTCTCTTCAATTTTATGAAGGCTGTGAGAGGGGAGGAAGCTGCTGAAGATAAATTCTCAGCTCGCAGAGGCTGGTTTAATAGGTTTAAGGACAGAAGTCAACTTCATAGCATCAGAGTGCAGGGTGAAGCTGCAAGCACCGACAATTTAGCTACAGAAAATTATCCACGTGAGCTAGCTGAGATAACAGAATGTGGTGGATATGCCAAGCAACAGATTATTAATGTGGATGAGACGGCATTATTTTGGAAGAAGATGCCATCTAGGACATTTATTGCTAAGGAAGAGAAGTCAATGCCTGGCTTCAAAGCTGCAAAAGACAGGCTAACACTCTTGCTAGGAGCTAATGCAGCTGGTGACTGCAAGTAAAAACCTTGAACATCCTTCAACATCAACAGCTAGCCTTGAACAGCCTTCACCATCAACAGCTAGCCTTGAACAGCCTTCACCATCAACAGCAACATACACTCCTTCAAAAGCTTCACACAAGTCTTCAAAATGAATCAAATTAGTTGAAGAATCAGAGGATGATGATCTGCCATCTCATGATTTGATTCAGTAACTACATTGCCACTCACCTCTCACACATTCATATTAAGTATTTTAAGGTAAGTAATAAATGTACTATGTGTGTATTTTACTTTTTATTGTGTTTTTTAATGCCTAGTTCTATTGCTAATTTAACCCTTTGAGGGTTTTCGTCGTACTAGTACGTCTTACGCGTAGGGGTTTTTGTCGTACTAGTACGCATAAATTCTAGCGGCCTCAAATCTCACAGGAAAAGGCTGATAAGCCTAGATGTGAGAGAATGGGTCTGTGTGGTGGGTGTGCGCAGTAGGAAAAAAATCTGGGACCCAGTGGTGCATTGTGGGAATGCCATCATAGTACACAATTTCCACCGTGCCCTGTGGTAAGAGTTCCTCACTCCTCGGCGAATTGGGACACTTTTGTTCCCCAGTGACAGTTCTAATACAGATGGAAGTGACAGTGAAGATGAGTTTCAAGGTTCTGGTGAGGTTTTGACCGAAAAACTAATGGGCCATAATATGGGTAATAGTGAGGAAAACCCAGACAACCCACAGCCTTCCACCTCTGGTGCTGGGCCGTCGTTCAGTTGTACCCGAATCAAAAGAGGAAACTCCTATTTCCAAATCCCAGACTCAGATGTGAGCATTGGTGATGATAATGATAGTGATTATGAACTACAAGATCTTCAAACTTGTTCCAAGAATGGAGGAGGAGGAGGAGGAGGAGGCAGAGGAGGGGGAGGCAAGAGGAGGAGGAGGCAAAAGGAGGAGGAGGCAAGAGGAGGAGGAGGCAGAGGAGGAGGAGGAGGTGAGGAGGAAGAAGAAGAGGAGGAGGAGGAGGAAGAAGAGGAGGAGGAGGAAGAAGAAGAATACGTAATGAAAACAATAATACATAATAATAATACATAATAATAATAATACATAATAATAATAATAATAATAATAATACATAATAATAATAATAATAGGTAATAATAATATGTAATAATAAATGTTCACCCATGACAGTAACAAGATAAGGGGAGATAACATCTGATAAGTGCTGACGTTTGATGAGGGTAAATGAGGGTAGAGCTGATGCCAAAAGATGAGATGAACATCGCCCTCCCTTTGTTTTTGCTGGTATACTAACATTTCTGTCTGTCTATTTGCCTGTCTGTCAAGCTCCCTGTCTATCCATCTAGCTCTCTGTCTCAGAGAGCCACAAGACTGCGTCATCACTTTTACTCACATCTTCAAGCAGAGTATAGCACTTTGTCTGGGTTTCTTGGGTTATCCTAGGTAATTTATACCATGTATTCTTGTATTTATGTGTACCTGTGAGACAGAGATAGACAGACAGATAGAATGAGGGAGAAAAGATAATTAGATAGAATGGAGGAGGGGAAGCAGCATCGACCCCATTGTTTTGACAGGCCGAGGGGGAAAGAGTAATGAGAAATATGCACTTTGCAGCTGCCCGATCCTTGTAATTTAATTGGAAAAGGAGGGAAGGGTAGGGGGAAGAGGAAGAAGGGGAAAGGAGGGGAAAGGAGGAGGAGGAAGAGGAGGGAAGGAAGGGAAAAGATAGGAGGAAGGGAAATAAGAGGAAGAGGAGGGGAAGGGAATAGTAGAGGAAGATTGGGGGAAGAGGAGAAGAGGAAGAGAGGGGGGAAGGAAAAGTAGGGGGAGGGAAGAGGAGGAGGAGGAGGAAGAGGGGAAAGGGGAAGAGGGGGAGGAAGGGAAGAGGAGG